AAGGTGGGATACAAATAGAGTAAATAAATAAATAAATCCATGAACATCAAATGATGGGGAACAACATAGCGTTGAAGTCAATAAGTTCAGTTTTATGGCTAATATAATTCAGGAACCTGTAATCTAATAAACAACGTTTCTTCCCATGTCTTGAGTTCCTCTGTAACTGTATGCCTTCATGCTTTTTCTTAAAACAATCCAAAAATTACCCTTGTAATAGAATTTTCTCAGCAAGATAAATTCAGAAGGTGTTTCTTCCATTGCCTTCCTCTGAAGCTGAGAGTGTAACGTACCAAATGTCATCCGGTAGGTTTTCCCCAGTGTGTGGAAAATTGAGCCCTGGTCTTCTGAAGTCTTAGCACAACACTCAAACTACTATGTCCATGTACTTCTCAATAATATCCTATAGAAATATGGTACTTTAGCCTGATGTGGTGTCTCCAAATTCAACCCTTTCATAGAACAAGAAATGCTGCCAATTGTATAAGCAGTGTTACCACTTTGGAAATTGTATGCTGCAAAATATATACATATGTCTTTTAAATGTTCACACTAATGGGAACGATTTGCAAATAGAAAGTTGTAATTCCATGAAGATAACGAAATGACAATGGACCATGAAAAACTCATTATAATATCCCTGTGATTAGTGGCCTGCTCTATGCACTTAGTGACTTCCCTTATGCACAGATTCTCTAAGGCAAACACTTCAGTAAAAGCAGAAGAAGTACCAGTGGGGAACCGGGAAAAGGAATCTTAATGAATAAATAATTCAATTGTCTAAGATAATGTTCCTATTACAGTTCCCCTATGGGTATCGCTATTCTGTGCCTAACTGGACATTGTTCAGTTGAATGTTAATGGCTCCCACAATTGTACCTCGGCTTTTTATGAAAATGAAAACTTTATGACAATGGTCCGGCTCTTAACAACAATAGTGAATTTGAGTCTGAACTATACCATATCAGATTGCCAATGGGAGCTTGTGCAACCATACATAATAATTAACTCTCCATGCATAGAAAACCAGCATGCCAGGGAGAAACTGCTAAGATATAAGACATCTCTACTGGTATTTTTTTTTCAATAGAGGAATTTATTTTATATTTCATCGCCTCCTTTTCTTTTTGTAGTACAAGTGTGCGGTAGCAGTTTGAGTGTTGGACTGTGACTCTAGAGATGAGGGTTCAGTTCCTTGCTTGGCTGTGGATACCCTCTGGATGACCTTGGACAAGTCCCAGAAAATCCCATGACAGGTTCTCCTTAGGGTCACCATAAGTCAGAAATGACTTGAAGGCACACAATAAGCATTCACTTGTGCAAGCTCACATATTTGTTTTAGTTCTAGGTGGGAATCGCATAGTTATTCAGATGATGTGGAACTGCAAGTCCCAATAGTTCTGATCTGCATAACCTATGCTGAGGTATGCTGGGATTTGGAATCCATCATCAGTCTGGCAATTTAATAGCATACTGTTATATTTTAGGTAATTGCAGTCCAGCTGCAAATGTATTTATTCCTTGTGGCTATGAGATCTTAAAGGTAAAGGTAAAGGTAGTCCCCTGACATTAAGTCCAGTCATGTCTGACTCTGGGGTGTGGTGCTCATCTCCATTTCTAAGCCGAAGAGCCAGCATTGTCCATAGACACCTCCAAGGTCATGTGGCCGGCATGACTGCATGGAGCGCCGTTACCTTCCCGCCGGAGCGGTACCTATTGATCTACTCACATTTGCATGTTTTCGAACTGCTAGGTTGGCAGAAGCTAGGGCTGACAGCGGAAGCTCACTCCACTCCCCGGAATCGAACCTGTGACCTTCCGATCAACAAGCTCAGCAGCTCAGTGCTTTAACCCACTGTGCCACCGGGGGCCTATGAGATCTTACTGTACTACAAAACATAGCATGCACTCTATGAAAAGCCTTCAATCCCTTCCAAAGAGGTAGGCTGATCTCAGTTGCATGAATGGAATTATATTCTACTAATGAGATCCTGAACCTAAGCTTTATAATCTCCATAGAAGAGCCCTGCTTGGTGTTGTGTTTCCAACCTTCTATTCCAGTAGGATTAGAAAGTGGGATGTGCTTTGTTACATCATGCCACAATAATGTGGACATCCTTAACTTTTGTGCATACAGGTTTGCATTGTTCTTTGCATATTACCAATACAATTTTAAAAGCTTCCATAAAGTGTGTCTGAAGTAAATACTATTTATTACCGTATTTACCACATTAGCATTCACTGAGTGTACCTATTTTGTTCTCTGCAAGAAAAAATGTGACATCCCAGATCCCAAAGAGACTGTAACAAATGTATCTAGCTGGCATCCCTGTAGGCAAGTCAAGACTACACAGAACTGCCCTATTTTAATTTTATTGATTCATGCATATAAGTATGAGCTATCAAAGTATGTATTTCCAGACACAGCACAATTAATGAATGCTACATCCAGCCAACACAGGTAAATCATCATATGCAGTAGCAATGACGATCTGAAAAGCCTTCGAATTTGTTCTCTTTCAGTTTTCTAAAAGCAATCTCATTTCTGAGATAATATGTTTTCCCCTGTATTTTATCTCTTTTCTCTAATGTATGAATTTTTATCTTGATTAAGCCATGGATGTGATGAGTTTCTCTTATTTGGAAACTGAAAATCTGAAAACTTCCAAAACTTGAAAATGTATCCCACTTGCTCCCACTTCTGCCACAGATAGCCACAGTGTTCTCGTTCCTCAATTTCTCAGAGACTTGGTCTTTTATTTTGCCATCAGCTGCCTTCTCCCACCTTTGAGATGGTGGCAGTGCCAGTGAGAGACTGTGGTTCTGAGAGACCAACAAGCAGGAGAGCCACAGTTTCCACCTCAAAGGTAGAAGACAGCTACTGACGAAAAGAGAGTCTGAAGGCTTGTGGAATGGCAGGAGGCATGGATTTGTGCAGAGCACTATGAATGGAGTCCCACCATTTCACAGATCCTCAGTCTTTCTCCAGTGTCAGACATAACACAAGCAGAGAACAAATAATACAAGACTATTCCAAATAATAATAATAATAATAATAATAATAATAATAATAATAATAATAAATACAGAATGTTTTTGATCCCAAGCATTTTGGATAAGGCATACTGAAGCTATACATGTTTTGAAATGTACATATGGACTGAGATCAGAGTGCAGGAAGCAACTCTTTGTCAGCATAGTTATATTGCTGATCCAGAAGGCAATGATGTCTCCTCCCCACCAGATGTGCAAAGGCAAATGAAGTCTCTCATACATAGTGTTTTCTGCCTTGCCACTGATTAGCAATGACCAGGAGCCAGCCACTTGCCCTTGTATGGCAGGGAAGGAGGAGGAGGATCTGTCACCTCTCCCACTGCTGGACATGAGTGGAAGTGGCTTTTCTGGTTCCAGATGAATAGGAGCATATGATGGCAGTCACTGTAGTCAATTAATGTCTGCAGCCTTGTCTTTGAACATACAAGGGGAAATGCATTATATCAACCAGTATATGATAAAATTTTCTGCAGTTGTTGTAGCTCAATAGCAATCACAACAGTCAGGGGCTGATGGGTTCATTGGCGACAGAGTCAGCTGAGATTGTGGGTTTTCTTGGGATTCATTCTGATGCAAGCTCTGGGATTCCTTCTCAGGCAGGTCAGGAAAGTGAAACTTTTTTAGAGAGGCCAGCACAGATGTAGGGAATGAGAATATAATAGCCTCTGAACCTCAAGACCAGGGAAAGGAGTTACAGTCATCTTCTCCAGGTAAGGAATCTAGCAAAGATGAATTGATGAGGAATTCTCATGGAAACACAGCTCGTGCTACTGATCTAAGCAAGGAAGCATGCTTTCAGATTTGAACAGATAGCCAGCTTCGTAGATCAACACGATTTCATGGGAAGCAGAAATTCCAGGGTAGATGTAATGCTTTCATGTCTGGTTATTAAAAGCTAATGGGGATGATGCTCTTCAGTTCAGGCAACGTGGCTTACAAGTACAGGCCTGAGTGCCTTCGGTTCTTGTTTCATGCCTCTGGGAGTTCTTCATATTCTTGTTTTATATTCTGGTTCAAGTTTTGCTTATGGATTTAAACTGCCTTTGTATTTTGGGACTATCCTCCTTGGACTAAACTGCTTTTGGATTTCCAAGAGACAATTGATTGTTGACTATTTGGATTTTACACCTTAACTCCTTGTTCCTGCTTTTTCATTATATATCTTTTGTGTGCTTTTTTGCAATAAACCGTTTGCCTTTAGTTTGGACTCTTGTGTGATGCTGTGGTCATTGGTGGCTTCAGGCCTGGAGTGCGACAGTTCTTACTCACATTGGCATATATGATGCTACCCCATAGTTTTGTGCACTCCACCCCACTTCAAGACACATTTCTAGGGAAATAGGTTGCATTTAATTGACATTTGAAAAAAAAGTATAAACCAAATGAAATTAATTATTTTCTATTCTTTAAATAGAAGAAGATAGAAACTGCCCATGATAACTGGTAATTCAAGAAGGGCAGAAGAATATTTAGAAATCTAAGAATATGGAAATAATTCTTATTCATGTGTAAAGAACTAAAATTCCCTAAAGAAGAGCCTCAAAAATGTGTTTAAAAGAAAATTGTATCAAAAGATATTTATATGCATCTTGGGACTTTCTTCTGTTTCATTGTGCCTGAAAGTTGCAGACTTTTTGAAATTTATTTTTATTGTCACAGGAAAAGAATAAACCCTTTTCTTTTGCAAACAGTCCTAGTGTTTTGCTCTTTATGCAAAGAATGAAATAAAATGAAAATAGACTGTGGCCCAGACACAACAGCTGACCTGGATGTTATTCATTGTGCTGAGGGGCTTCACATTCCCATAAACCATCAGTCAATAAATCAAGGGACTCAATGTGAATGTACTGTGTGATTGTTGTTTTATTTGTCCAATATTTCATCCACATAAGGCTGTTCAGCAAGCTTAATGGTACATCACTTCCAGGCGCCTTCAATGCTCTTCTTTAATAAGTCAGCAGTTTATTCCACTGGATTGCCGTACGAGTGACTGGGAGCTGTCTACGCAATGTTTGCCACACTTCATCAGACAAGTCTTGGAGGCTTTCAACCAAACCAGTCTGAAATTTGCTATGCTCACGTTCAATGAACTTCTCAAAATCTATGGCAAACTGGGCACGGTTAATTAAATACATGGAATGGCTACCACCATTGGTTGCTGTAAAGTGGAGGTTAGATTTTTTGAAATAGTGTATCTGTACAACAATACTTCCTGTGACTTGAGTACTAGGGGGAGTAACGGGAAGAATCCATTCTGATTTCCAAAAAGCATTCCAAAACTTCTTATACTGATGGCCTTCAATACAGATCACGAAGAACGGGGTTCCTCTGAGGGTTTTCTGGTAAACACGACAGATCCCAGAAAGCAAATGTTTCTTCACATAAGACTCTAAAGTAACATTCAGGGTTTCTCTCCATAACTCTGCCGTATCTCTTTTGAAGTCATGATAGATCAAGATCTTATCAGCTCTTCCGCTCAAGTGATCAAATCTGAACGAAAGCTTGATCTGTGGATCAAAGAAGCGATTTCCTCCCAGATCATTGTGCCGTGTCACTAGAGAATCCTCTCCCCTGATGCTCACAGGTGTGAAGTTATTCCTGGTGTGATGCGCAGACACCTGAGCAGCCTCCTGCCTCATGAGATGATCGTCACCAATCAGGATGCGGAGGTCTTCAAAAACATTCCTAAATTCCCCTGGGGGAACCTGGAGCAGCAAACCGCAGATGAAACTGATTTTCTCTTCTTTGGGTAACTCATCTGCTTCAGACACCATGGCCTGCCTTTGAAACGCTGGAGATAAAAATAGAACCAGAACTACTTTTTAAGCATCACAGCATTTTAAATATACATACATGATTGCTTGTTCTTTTAACACCTTTCAAATAACCTATCACATTTGCTTCCCTTTTTCTAACCTTCACATCTCAAGGTTAATCTGGACTTTCTAAAGAAAAGGCAGATCTTGGCAATCTGGCAGCTAATTGAAATCCAGAATGCTCACTCTTTTTAAAAAAGCAGAAGTCTCAAAAAGCTATCACATAACATCAGATATGACTATTAAAAAGGGAGGAAACTTCGACTGATTGCCAAAATGTTAAAATGTGATGGTTTAACATTACAACAATTGGTCAATGTCAGTCAGAAATTCAGGCACTAGGGACAATGTAGGATAAATCAAAGTTTGTTTATGTAGTCAGACATAAAAAGGTAAAAGTTTCCCCTTAACATTGAGTCTAATCATGCCCATCTCTGTGGGTGGTGCTCATCTCCATTTCTAAGCCAAAGAGCCAGCGCTGTAAACACCTCCTAGGTCATGTGGCCAGCATGACTGCATGGAGTGCCATTACCTTCCTGCTGAAGTGGTACCTATTGATCTACTTGCATGTTTTCAAACTGGGGAGAAGCTGGAGCTAACAAAAAGAGCACTGACCTTTTGGTCACAAAGTTTAGCAGCTCAGTGGTTTAATCCGCTGTGCCACCAGGAGGTCAGACATACATTCTAGGTAATTCAAAGTCAAATACTTCCAAGTAACTGAAATAGGAGTAAAATATCAAAACTTTAATTTGTTTTGTTTTTGTTTTTGGTTTTGTTTTGTTTTGTTTTTTAAAAAAAACAGGCTGGTAATAATTTCCACAAATAATAATAAAAAAAATTGGTACAGAAGTGAAAATAATGATGCATACAAAATACATTTCAAAAATGTTTTCCCTCATATTTTAAATGGAAAGTACAGTATATTTGACTGAGGCTGAATGGGATTGCTTTTAACCTGCTATCACAGTCCTATAGGTGTCTTGATTATAACCCTGCTGTAACATATATTAGCTGGAATGCCATGCTAATGGTTTCTTTAGTACCAATTACTGACCACATCTGTAATTTTAATATACTGTATCTGACTTTCTGATGGCTTAAGTTCAGATTTAAAGACACAATTTCTAGTTCTATTCTATTTTAACTTTATACATGGTCTCTCTCTCTCACACACACACACACACACAGCGATGCTTGGATTAATCAAAAGCTATAATCTGGATCTTCCCAATTGTTTCTTATGTTAGAATTTAAATTTTAAGTGTGAATTAGAAATTCACTCCAGCATAGTGGTTCAATTGGGTATAATACATCTATTCAGTTATAAATCAGTTTGATAGCAAACAAATAAGTATGGTGGGGACCTAAACAAATGATAGTCAAGTTATCAGACCTTTGACTAGATATATTTGTAGTGGGTTACTTTGGTAAAAATAGTGTGAGCACTTGGAAATTGGTTGGGCTGCATTGACCTTGAACTTTCTAAAACGAGAATCTTTGTTCCTGGATATGTTTAAAATACACAAAGTGAGAATATGTGCTAAGTTAAGAGATATCCCAAATATGCGTTCCATCTTCAGATCAGAAGAAATGTCACCTCGATACGTACTGACACAGAACTCTGATATTACAGTATGACAACTACAGTGTTAAGAAAAAAAGAAATAGATCCCAGCAGGCTTGGAGGAGCACCAAGGTTTGTTAAAGTGGAAAAACATATTTGGGAATAAGAACAAAAAAGTTATTTGTTCACAAGGACTTTGAAGAATAATTTCAAAAGCTGTGGAATGTTTCTTGATTCTCAGCTGGAAAAGAGAAATGGAAATGTGGTATGAGGCATGGAATGGATGACATGGCTGAACAATGAAGCACAAACACAATGCACTGCCAGATTTTCTTTCAGATTCCACTTCTTGGATCATAAAAAGGTCTAATCTTCTTTTAAAGAATGTAACCAATACTCTAGGTGTATTTTACTAAAATTTGGCCAGTGGCTAACTTTTTCACTATGGTCTACTTTCTGTCTTTCTTTTTATTGCAAGGCTGTGCACACTTAGCAATATATAAGCTTTTCCTTTGGATGAGTCAACAATCAGCTCTTAGTCCTAATCTAATTGCTAGGCCAAGCTACTGAACCAATTTCTGAATGAAAGCCAATGTTCATGCAATTCCTATTGATTCTAGTCTGTTCAGACTACTAGTTGGATTTATCCTTTGAAAATTATTCAATTTGCAAATAATACATTTTTTCATGGTCAGCGTCTTCTGCAGCTGTCAGTTGAGCCTGTGTCTCAAATGAAAATATGACCATCTCTCCTATGATGTCAACAACGCAGAGGTCACAAAGGGGAAACAAAAATCACCAATCATATAAAAACAACTCAGTCATTTGCAGGAGAGCAACATGGTGCTTTAGGCCTATTCTTTTGAAAGATGAATCTTCATCCATGTGCAACATTTTGTCTTGAGCAAACTACTTGCATATAGACCTATCACCTGGAATCAATAACCTTTACACTATGTTGAGAAAAATGCAGTAAGACTAATAAAGCAATGATTATTGTTCCCCGCACCAGCTTCTTAATGCTGTACAAAACTGTTACTTACATTTAATACCACAACCAAACAAAAACATTTGTTATCTTGTTGTCATGGTGTGCAGGTCTGTTCTTTATGGGTAAGCTGATGGCAATTGGTCTGGTATATTTCACATGTTCTGTATCTCAAAAACTAAACCTGATAGGGGAAAACTGGTACAATTTTTGGAATCGGCAGGTCAAAAATACTCCAAAACAGGTCTAAAATTTGAGGCACCCAAATGTGTGTTGGTGAGTGCAATTGCAGCGTTTTTACAGTTTAACAAACAGGACTAATGATGAAGTTCTCTGTAGATCTCAGTAATATTGAAGTGTTTTAAATTTTGTAAATATAAGTAAATTTTGTAAATAGAAATAGGTAGGTAGATAGGAAAATAGGGACCCAAATGTAACAGTAGGAGAAGTATACTCTATTTTCTTGATAGTGAGACACAGTTCAGCCATTGAACCAACTGCCTAAAGCAGGCATGGGCAAACTTTGGACCTTCAGGTGTTTTGGACTTCAACTCCCACAATTCCTAACAGCCTCAGCCCCTTCCTTTTCCATTTTCCTTTTCCTGCCTAAGTGACTCAGGGGGAAAAGGAAGGGCCTGAGGCTGTTAGGAATTGTGGGAGTTGAAGTTCAAACCCCCTGCCTGGCCTAAAGAGGTCATGGGAGATGTCCTCTCTTGGATGTCTTCAGAAAAAGCCTAGATACTTCCCTGTTGTGGATGCTTTTGTTGGAGATCCTCCACTGAACAGAAGGATTGGCTTAATGGTTCTGTATTAATGGTGCTATACAGGCCCGTAGCCAGGATTTTGATTCGGGGGGGGGGGGGGGGGAGGGCTGAGTTTGATTCGGGGGGTGAGTCTGAGTGAAAGAGGGTCTAGCCTAGCAAACCTTTTGTATCATTACCCCAATACCCCCATGCATATGGGATATATTGAGTTTGGTGATCAGATCATGATATGAATAAACATAACAGTTTAAATAATGCACCAGTAAGGCCTTTTCGCGAACCACCATGAGAATTTCGGGGGGGGGGGGGCTGGATCCTCAAGCCCCCCCCCCCCCCCCCACCCCCTCAAACCCCCTCCCCCCCCGGCTACATGCCATTTCCCTACCTTTCTAAAATAAATCATATTCAATACATCTTACATGTCTCAATAAATTGCAAATAATCCTAAACAATGAGGCATGTAAACAGCAACAGTTGAAAAGACCTCATGACATTCTAAAAATATCAGCAGGCAGCAATTTATCATTTGAGAGTTTTGAGCTTGAAAATTTTGACATCGCCTAAAGATGATGCAGATTTATTATGCTGTGATTGACTGGAAAGGTGAGACAGACCCATAGCATTGGGGTTACTGCACAAACAGTACATTTACAACAGCAACAACACCCCGCCACACACACACACACACATATTGCCAATGAATATAAGTTGCGTGGGCTAGATTTCAGAGGAAGGAACTGGCAAAACTGTTTCTGAGTTATCCTTGCCTAAGAAAATCCTTTGAAATTAATGGGCTTGCTGTAAGTCAACAGGCGACTTAAGGAATGTATTGCAACAAGATGTGGATGATAAACACAATCCTGAGATGGTTTTAAAAGGGCATCAGACCAATTAATGAAGTCATTTTATTAGACATGGCAATATCTACGTTCTTTAAAAAGTAATTTTTATACCACCGTTCAAGACAAAGCTTCCCCAAGATAATTCACCGAATGAAACTTTACAAGACAATAAAATGTCCTAATAAATACCCTAAAGATGTTTGATTTCTGTACTTTGGCTCCTCCACTGATGCAGATCATACCTTTTCCATACATGCATGATTGTCATAGTTGTGGCCTTTTCATCACCAGATAGCCAAGACATACAGAAAAGAGTGAACTAAAACAACACTAAAGAAAGCCAAAAACTTTAGCACAGCTGGTTAATCACCAGCAGCAATAGATCTTACAAATTGGAAGGATAGCATTCGAAGTCCAGGGTAGGATGAGCACCCGACCTTCAGCCCAGCTTACTGTCCACCTAAGTAGTTGGAGCCCTGGGTGGTGTAGTGGGTTAAAGTGCTGAGCTGCTGAACTTGCTGATCATAAGGTCTCAGGTTCGAATCCGGAGGAGCGGGGTAAGCTCCCGCTGTTAGCCCCTACTTCTGCCCACCTAGCAGTTTGAAAACATGCAAATGTAAGTAGATCAATAGATACCACTCTAGTGGGAATGTAACAGTGCTCCATGCAGTCATGCCGGCCACATGACCTTGGAGGAGTCTATGGACAGCACCAGCTCTTTGGCTTAGAAATGGAGATGGGCACCAACCCCTAGAGTTGGACACAACTGGACTTGATGTCAGGGGAAAATCTTTACCTTTAAGCAGTTCAAAAAAAAACAGCTGTGAGTTTTGAGTAGAGAAATTAGCCACTGTTGCCCGTTTTTGGTCAAAAGATATTTAGCTGCCTGCGCTCCTTCTATTTTTAATCAGTTTTATACTAATTTATGCAATGCTTTTGATACGAACTAAATAAATAAAGCAGGCATAGGCTAACTTGGGCTGTCCAGGTGTTTCGGACTTCAACTCCCACCATTCTTAACGGCCACAGGCCCCTTCAAGGGCAAGCTTGGGCCGCCCAGGTGTTTTGGACTTCAACTATGTCTTGATTTAAGTCATTGACGTGCTGGCTGATACCCAAACAAGGGATGAGCTGGAGATGTCTCTGCCTTGGTCCTTTCACTATTGGCTGCTACTTCCCAGCGGATGTCAGGTGGTGCAATTTCTCCATTGGTGTGGGGCGCAGACACCCTGTGATAATGCGGCATGTCTCATTAAGAGCCACATCTACTGTTTTAGTGTGGTGAGATGTGAGATGTGTTCCACACTGGGCATGCGTACTCAGCAGCAGAGTAGCATAGACTGTCTCACAGACTGTAGACCAGGCATGGGCAAGGTTGGACCATCCAGGTGTTTTGGACTCCAGCTTAAGCACCTGAGAGGGAAAAGGAACCTGTGGCTGTTAGGAATGGTGGGAGTTGAAGTCCAAAACACCTGGGCGGCCCAAGCTTGCTCATGCCTGGTCTACAGTCTGCTGAGAGTGCTGGTGCCTCCCCAAAGGGCAGCTCCATGCTTCCATAGCACTGAGCCATGCCATTCTGCAGTGTAGGTGCATGCAGCCTTTGGAAAGAGAGGAGGCGTGAGGGATGGCGAAAGGGGTTTCCATGGCAACCGGGTTGCCTGTGACGTCGCCGGTGATGCTCGGATGCCAGCGAGGAAGAGGAGAGGAGCATCCGCCTCCTCTTTGCTTGCCCCGCCAGCGGGGATTATGACGTCAGGGGGGGCTCCCTGATGGGAGGGGGGAGGAGAGGAGTCCCGCGCAGGCGCCTTTGGGCGCGCGGAGGTCCGAAGGGGCGCACGCTCCGGGGGGGCAGGGGAAGGGAGGGGGGAACATCAGTCTCGGGGGCGAGAGAGGAGGCGGGGGAGCTATGCCGCGGTGGGAGCTGCAGAGACCATCGCAGTAAGGAACACGCGGATGAGACCGACACCCTAACAACACCATCATGGAGAACAAATATCCTTATTGCAAAGGAAGGATAATCACACCCCACCAGTGACTGCAATGCAGGAAGTACATTGCGATACAGCAAGCCCCCCTGCCCACCTAATTGGGATGATTGGCATCATGAGCAACATCAAATCATAAGTGTGCATCTTTGGGTTGCTCTGAGTTTTCCAGGATGCAAAGCCACGTTCCAGAAGCATTCTCTCCTGACGTTTCACCCACATCTATGGCAGGCATTCTCAGAGGTTGAGGGGTCTGTTGGAAACTAGGCAAGTGAGGTTTATATATCTGTGGAATGTCCAGTCCGGGAGAAATAACGCTTTGTCTGGGTTGTTGTAGGTTTTTTCGGGCTATATGGCCATGTTCTAGAGGCATTCTCTCCTGACGTTTCGCCTGCATCTATGGCAAGCATCCTCAGAGGTAGTGAGATCTGTTGGAACTAGAAAAAAGGGTTTATATATCCTAGTTCCTAGTTCCAACAGACCTCACTACCTCTGAGGATGCTTACCATATATGCAGGCGAAACATCAGGAGAGAATGCCTCTAGAACATGGCCATATAGTCCGAAAAAACCTACAACAACCCAGTGATTCCAGCCATGAAAGCCTTCGACAATACAACTTTTGTCTGTTTGAGGCAAGTGTGAATGTTGCAATTGGCTGCCTTGATGAGCATTGAACGGCCTTGCAGCTTCAAAGCCTGGCTGCTTCCCACCCAGGGGAATCCTTTGTTGGGAGGTGTTAGCGCACCTTGATAGTTTTATTTATTTATTTATTTATTTACGACATTTATATTCCGCCCTTTTCACCCCGAAGGGGACTCGGAGCGGCTTACGAGGTATATATACATACAATATATTATTAGCATAGTACAATATCAGTTTTAAATATTGCTATATTGCACTATATCAATTATACGTAATATTATTAGTAATATTACATGTAATATAAATATATAATTATAGTATATTATTAGTAGTAGTATTATATTGCAGTGCATTACAATATAAATATTACATGTATACACAATATTATATTATAACATATATCGGGTTATATGGCCATGTTCTAGAGCAGGGGTCCTCAAACTAAGGCCCGAGGGCCAAATACGGCCCTCCAAGGTCATTTACCTGGCCCTCGCTCAGGGTCAACCTAAGTCTGAAATGACTTGAGAGCACACTCAACGACAACAATCCTATCTCATCAGCCAAAAGCAGGCCCACACTTTCTATTGAAATACTACTAAGTTTATATTTGTTAAAATTGTTCTTCATTTTAATTATTGTATTGTTTTTAAGTGTGTTTTGCACTACAAATAAGATATGTGCAGTGTGCATAGGAATTCATTCATGTTTTTTCAAATTATAATCCGGCCCTCAGTTTGAGGGACTGTGACCTGGCCCTCTGTTTAAAAAGTTTGAGGACCCCTGCTATTGGGAATCATAGAATCAACCATGTCAGACTACACAGAGAAGCCATTGAAATCACAAGCATGTGGACAATTTCAACAGAAAGGAGGAAACCATGAAAATGAACAAAATCTGGCTACCAGTATTTAAAAACTCTAAAATTACAACAGCACAACAACAGAGAGGAAACAAACAAGGACATCTAATCACCTCTCAACAAAAGTTTGCTCTAGGCACTGTTAGGCCATTATATGCTAATCAAGTGGTCAGTTGAAACATTCACACCTAGCTCCAGCAGACAAGAGTCCTTTGTCTCACCCTGGTCATTCCACAGCTTTGAAGCTGAAAAGCCTTTCAATGCTAATCATGGTATGTTTTATTGATTAGCCCATTGGCGATATCAGAATCATTTGACAAACACATACAGCATACACCTCACAGTGCAACATAAATTCAACAAGCTGTTAACAGCTAATCAAGGTGATCAATTGCAGCGTTCACACTTGCCTCAAACAGACAAGAGTTCTATCTCCCACCCTGGACATTATTCCACAGATATATAAACCTCACTTGCCTAGTTTTCAACAAAACTTACAACCTCTGAGGATGCCTGCTATAGATGTGGGTGAAATGTCAGGAGAAAATGCTTCTGGAACATGGCCATACAACCCAGAAAACTCACAGCAACTCAATACCCAAACCCCCTTCATTCATAAGATTTCCTTTATAGCAAATGCTGCCTGAAGACTGCCACACTGTCTTGAAGGTTTCCTTAATTCGCTTTCCTTTACGTGGTTCATGGACATCATCTTCGATGAATTTAGGGATGGCAAGATTAACCTAGATAAGGCCTTGAAACTCTTCAATAAGATGGAAATCAGCTATGACTACATTCATGTGAAAAAAGTGTTTAAGGTGAGGAAAAAGTCCCTTGATTCCTTTCAAATACAGAGTAGAATTTGTAACCGAGATAAAAGTATTGCATGTCAAATGCGCATAACTTTTGGAGTAATCCTTTTCCGTATTTTTTTTCCAGTGGAGGTTTGTATCCCAGCAGCAAAAATTCACAAGCAATAAGAGAGGGGAGGAATCAGCAGCTATTGGACCCAACCCCTTCTCCCCCTGCCATTCCCCTTTCCTTATATGTCATGTCTTATTCTGATTGTAAGACAAATTAAATATTTCTTTGCTGCCCAGGTAGTCTTTCAATAGAATCATAGAATTGGAAGAGACCTCATGGGCCATCCAGTCCAACCCCCTGCCAAGAAGCAGGAAAATCTTATCCAAAGCATCCCTGACAGATGGCCATCCAGCTTCTGTTTAAAAGCCTCCAAAGAATGAGTCTCCACCACACTCCGGGGCAGAGAGTTCCACTGCTGAACGACTCTCACAGTTAGGAAGTTCTTCCTGATGTTCAGGTGGAATCTCCTTTCCTGTTGTTTGAAGCCATTGTTCTGTGCCCTAGTCTCCAGGGCAGTAGAAAACAAGCTTGCTCCCTCCTCCCTGTGACTTCCTCTTACATATTTATACATGGCTGTCATGTCTCCTCTCAGCCTTCTATTCTGCTGGCTAAACATGCCCGGGTCTTTAAGCTGCTCCTCATAGGGCTTGTTCTCCAGAACTTTAATTATTTTAGGCGCCCTCCTCTGGACACATTCCAGCTTGTCAACATCTACCTTCAATTGTGGTGCCCAAAATTGGACACAGTATTCCAAATGTGGTCTAACCAAGGCAGAATAGGCGGTAGCATGACTTCCCTGGATCTAGACACTATACTCCTGTTTTGTTGTTGTTGTTCATTCATCCAGTCATTTCCGACTTTTCGTGACCTCACGAACCAGCCCATGCCAGAGCTCCCTGTCGACTGTCACCTCCCCAGCTCCTTCAGAGTCAAGCCAATCAGTTCAAGGATGCCATCCATCCATCTTGCCCTTCGTTGGCCCCTCTTCCTTTTTCCTTCCTTTTTCCTTTCATTTCCCCCAGCATAATTGTCTTCTCTAAAGTTCTGTTTATAGAGGGCAAAATCCTATAGACTTTTAAAGCTGCTGCATCACATTTTTGGCTGTTAAGTTAAAGTATGGATTATAAAGATTCAAATAGACAAGAAGTGGATGAATGTGTGATCACTAGACTGGAGGTCCTTCCACACATCCATATAACCCAGAATATCAATGCAGGTATCCATAATATCTTCTTTGAACTGGATTATCTGAGTTCACACTGCCATATAATCCAGTTAAATGTGGATTTAATACAGCTGTATGGAAGGGGCCTTTCAGGACAGTGGAGAACCATTTTTTTTTGGATTTCTTTGTGTTTACTCCACACCTCTGTGGGGTTGCAAAAGAAATTCTTTGTAAGTGAGGTTTGGGGATTACTGCTCAAAGGCCAGTTGCATCTTGTGAAATGTTTTACTGTTCAATTTCTATATTTTATCTACAAGCAGAGTGCACTTTTGTGGTGTTTTCCTCTCAGGAGCAAACTACAGTTGGAGTGAATCAGCCAATCTCTTACAAAGTGAAATGATTCAAAAACTTTGGCACTGGACTACACGTGTCAAATACCAGGGATGGGGACAAATCAAACCCACCACATCTTGCGGGGCTTTCAATACCAGGACGACAAAGTTACATTTATATACAGACTTGCAAATACAATTGACTATTTGAAGCAGTGGTTCCCAACCTTTTTTTTGACCAGGGACCACTCTCCAACATTAGTACCAAAAAGGTTACGAACCAGTTTTGGTCAACTTTAGATTTGGTTATTTGGGGTGCTCGTTCAGAAAATTGCAGGCGCCATAAGGAATGGCTCTGCTTGGGGAGGGAGGAAGAAGAGAAGCGGCAGTCAGGAGGCTTGTTGTCGTGCCTTTCATATGTAGTCAGCCTCTCCCCTCCCGACATCCCCATTGCCCCAGCACTATAAGGTTTCATGAGACCAATTACTCTTGTTGCAATGGTGTAGTAATGGTGAGGCCGTGGGCCATATTTTAGTCCTTGGGGTAGTCCATGGATCACAGGTTGGGAACCACTGCTTTGAAGACAACATAAGGCTTGGTGAAAAAGAGTTTGACACCCCTGTACTAGCCCCTTTCCTCTCAGAAACTGAGAATTTTGGAGGCTCCTGAAACACATAGTTTTGTGTTGTGCTGATAGCTGTTTTCCTATTCAGATGGATATAGTTTGGCCATGCCTACAATACACAAACAATAGAGAACTGGCATGAAATAAGTTTAGTCAGATGGCAGGTTTGGCAATATGAGTTTTCATCTCAGCCTTGCCAGACTCAAATAGAATGCATAGCTCCATTAATTATAGCTATTAATCCAATAATTTGCATACTGGGGAGGTGAGAGACAAGGGACGGCCTGACTGTTTACACAAGCCAGCTATATCAAATGAACAAAGCAGCATCCCAAGGTGCATCATCTTCACTGTCTAATTATAATGCAGCTTGATGCTACTTTAACTGTCATGGCTCAATTCTATGAATTCCTGGGATCTGTCGTTTGGTGAGGCATCAGCACTTTTTTTTGCCGAGAAGACTAACCATCTTGCGAAATGTTTTCTTTCAATTTAGAAAAATGACAGTCAGAAAAAGGGACTCATCACCATGGAAGATTTCCGCGCCATTTACCGAACGATTTTGCACAGGCCCGAACTTAGTGAACTCTTCAACAGTTACTCGCAAAACAAAAAAGTCCTATCAGCGGCCAATTTTGTGGACTTTCTAAAAAAGGAACAGTTTGAACTGAAGGCTGATGAACGAAGAGCTGGCTCTCTCATTAGTAGATACGAACCCATTGAAGAAGGTACACTGATAGTTTTAATTTGGTACCACAACTTTGTGTTTACTTTGAAATAATGAATGAATAGTAAGTGGTATTGTAACTTTATGTAATGGTTCTTTGAAAAAAATTGTTATATTGTGTGAAACAAGCCTATAAATGTTCTAGATTTGTGGTTGGTTATGGGCATTCAACTTGAAAACACGAGGGAAAAATTCATTCAAGACCTATTTGTGTGTGCTCTAATGATCACTTCTATTAGAAGACCAATGTTATTGTAAAATATGCATTGCGGTAATGTATTTTATTAGACAGTTGTAATTCTGAAGCAGTCTGTATAATGCATGTTATTATGCATGTCTGTATAAAATTAAATTGTGTCAATTCATTCAGTTATGTTTTTCACATTAAAGGGATGCACCACCTAAAAAAAAATAAGACAATGGGTTGTATATTTCTTTATTGAAATATTATTGAACCTTGTACAGGATATGACTGAACTGTACAGGTTGAGTATCCTGTATCTTAAATGCTTTGGACCAGAAGTGTTCTGTATTTTGGATTCCCCCCCCCCCCCCCAGATTTTGGAATAATTTCCTTTACATAATGAAATGTCATGGAGATGGGACCTAAGTCTCATGTTTAGACTTGGATCCCATCTCCAAGATGTCTTGTATGTTTCATTTCTCATTCAGGTATGTTTCATTTATACCGTACAGTCTGAAGTTAATTTTATAAACAACATTTTAAAATAATTTTGTCTGTGTATATTGAACCATCAGAAAGCAAAGACATCACTATCTGATGCAGACAATTTTGGAGTATTTTGGAATTCTGAATAAGAGGTGCTACCCTGTATAAATTACTACTCTTCCTTTGAATATATTAAGCTTTGGATTTATTGCTTTGGTTTCACATATTTGGCTAATATAAAATTTTTATAAATTGTATAAAGTCAGATTAAAGAAGACCTGGAGCTGACTGTAGCTCAGATCACAAACTTCTTATTGCTCAATTTAGAATAAAACTAAAGAGATCAGGGAAAGTACACAGACCAGTTAGATATGATCTCACTAACATCCCTAGCGAATATACAGTGGAAGTGAAGAACAGATTTGAAGGACTAGATTTAGTAAACAGAGTCCCAGAAGAACTATGGACAGAAGTCCGCGACATTGTTCAGGAGGCGGCAACAAAGTACGTCCCAAAGAAAAAGAAAAACAAGAAGGCAAAATGGTTGTCTGCTGAGACACTGGAAGTAGCCCAAGAAAGGAGGAAAGCAACAGGAAACAGGGATAAGGGGAGATATGCCCAGTTAAATGCGCAATTCCAGAGGTTAGCCAGAAGAGATAAGGAACTATTTTTAAATAAGCAATGCATGGAAGTGGAAGAAGACAACAGAATAGGAAGGACAAGAGAACTCTTCCAGAAAATTAGAAACATTGGAGGTAAATTTCAGGCAAAAATTGGTATGATAAGAAACAAAGATGGCAGGGACCTAACAGAAGCTGAAGAGATCAAGAAAGGTGGCGAGACTATACAGAAGATCTGTATAGGAAGGATAATAATATTGAGGATAGTTTTGACGGTGTGGTGAATGAATTAGAACCAGACATCCTGAGGAGTGAGGTTGAATGGGCCTTAAGAAGCATTGCTAACAACAAGGCAGCAAGAGACGACGGGATCCCAGCTGAACTGTTTAAAATCTTAAAAGATGATGCTGTCAAGGTGATGCATGCCATTTGCCAGCAAATATGGAAAACACAAGAATGGCCATCAGACTGGAAAAAATCAACTTATATCCCCATACCAAAAAAGGAAAATGCGAAAGACTGCTCCAACTTCCGTACAGTGGCCCTTATTTCTCATGCCAGTAAGGTAATGCTCAAGATCCTGCAAGGAAGACTCCAGCAATACATGGAGCGAGAGTTACCAGATGTTCAAGCTGGGTTTAGAAAAGGCAGAGGAACGAGAGACCAAATTGCCAATATCCGCTGGATAATGGAGAAAGGCAGGGAGTTTCAGAAAAACATCTACTTCTGCTTCATTGACTATTCTAAAGCCTTTGACTGTGTGGATCATAATAAATTGTGGCAAGTTCTTAGTGGGATGGGCATTCCAAGCCACCTTGTCTCTCTCCTGAGGAATCTGTACAAGGACCAAGTAGCAACAGTCAGAACTGACCACGGAACAACAGACTGGTTCAAGATTGGGAAAGGCGTACGGCAAGGCTGCATCCCTCACCCAACCTTTTTAACTTGTATGCAGAACACATCATGCGATGTGCGGGGCTTGATGAATGCAAAGCTGGGGTAAAAATTGCTGTGAGAAACATTAACAACCTCAGATATGCAGATGACACCACTCTGATGGCCGAAAGCGAGGAGGAGCTGAGGAGCCTTCTAATCAAGGTGAAAGAAGAAAGCGCAAAAGCCGGGTTGCCGCTAAACGTCAAAAAAACCAAGATTATGGCAACAAGAATGATTGACAACTGGAAAATAGAGGGAGAAACCGTGGAGGCCGTGACAGACTTTGTATTTCTAGGTGCAAAGATTACTGCAGATGCAGACTGCAGCCAGGAAATCAGGAGACGCTTACTTCTTGGGAGGAGAGCAATGTCCAGTCTCGATAAAATAGTAGAGTAGAGACATCACACTGGCAACAAAGATCCGCATAGTCAAAGCCATGGTATTCCCTGTAGTAACCTACGGATGTGAGAGCTGGACCTTAGGGAAGGCTGAGCGAAGGAAGATCGATGCTTTTGAGCTGTGGTGTTGGAGGAAAGTTCTGAGAGTGCCTTGGACTGTGAGAAGATCCAACCAGTCCATCCTCCAGGAAATAAAGCCCGACTGCTCACTGGAGGGAAAGATACTAGAGACAAAGTTGAAGTACTTTGGCCACATCATGAGGAGACAGGAAAGCCTAGAGAAGACAATGATGCTGGGAAAGTGGAAGGCAAAAGGAAGAGGGGCCGACCAAGGGCAAGATGGATGGATGGCATCCTTGAAGTGACTGGACTGACCTTGAAGGAGCTGGGGGTGGTAACGGCCGACAGGGAGCTCTGGCGTGGGCTGGTCCATGAGGTCACGAAGAGTCGGAGACGACTGAACGAATGAACAACAACAATAAAGTCAGATTTGGCCACGGTGGTACATGCTCTTATTACATCCCAAATAGACTACTGCAAGGTGCTGTGTGGTATTGCCTTTGAAGACTGTTTGGAAGCTTCAAGTGGTCAAAGGGGTGGCAGCCAGATTTCTCACTGGAGCGGCGTACAGGGAGCACACAACCCCCCTGTTGCATCAGCTTCACAGGCTGCCAGTCTGCTACTGAGCACAATTCAAAGTGCTGGCTCTATAAAGCTCTAAAAAGCCTATAAAGCCCAGTTTACCTGTCTGAATGTATCTCCTTTTATGAAGCATCTCATAGAGTAAGATAATCTGGGGAGGCCCTGCTCTCATCCCATCTCCTTCGCAGGTGTGGTTGGTGGGGATGGGGGACAGGGCCTTCTCAGTGGTGGCCCCTTGGCTGTGGAACTCCCTCCCCAGTGATATTCAATCAGCTCCTTCCCTCCTAGCCTTCAGAAAGAAACTAAAAACATGGCTGTGGGACCAAGCTTTTGGACAATAACTGCACTGCAATAAATGTTTGTAGAATCTGTGCAGTGACAACTGGAATATGGCTCTGGATTACAACCTTGGACTTTGTGATTTTAATAATTGATGTCATTGTTTTAAATGCTTTAATTCTTTGTTTTTTAATGTAAATGTTTATTTAATTGTATGTTGTTTTTATGATATTGAATTGTTGCCGATGTGTGAAGCTGCTCTGAAGTCCCCTCGGGGTTGAGAAGGGCAAGGTACAAATGTGGTAAACAAACAAACAAACAAACAATTTGTGCACAGATTAGCCCAACAGTGTAAGCAAAAGTGCAAACTCGATTATTAGTGACCGTATGCCAGTCTATTGAGTTAAATGGGACATAACTGTGAATGAACATATATAAGACCGTGCTGTATGTTGAATGAATATTCTTGTTATTTTCTATGATGTACAATTTATGTCTTAAATAATAAAGAGTAAGTTGATTATTTTTCTGTAGTAATTCACATTATTTTCATTTTGATTTCTATTTAAATCACAATCAGCTATTGTAAGTATAGTATGTATTTATGCTCAGATTTTACCAATGTTGTCGCAGTCCTCATTAGTTTGAATGACATTTGTGCTTTTTCAGCATTCTGTGAAATAGTGGGCATGTTTGCGCTTTTTGCAAAACAGCCCTAACAGGTTCTGAATATAATTCAGTGTTTTATATCATATGCGAAAAACTTTCTTTTGTCAAGCACAATTTGAGATACAACATTTCATTTTTAACTATTGATAGTTCAATCCCAATAATAACATTCTTCCAGTCCTTTATGATATAGCACATACACAACATCACATAACCTAGAAATGCTTTGGCTCAAAACGGTTTAATACTAATAAAAACATGCTATTTTTTTTGACGACAACTAGACTATCTTCAGCTTTTTGTTTTGGAGAACTATAGGGCACTATTTAAAAAAAATTAAGGCTACCCTGATAATGATACTATCCTAATATGAATTTTGTTAAAAGAGTATTACATGTGGTTTTTCATGGAACATGCATGAATCACACAAATAGATTTCCTGTATGTTAAAACCAGCAGCAAGTAACATTATTTTGAATATGAATTATTTTGACATCTCGAACTTTGTGACTTGATTTTATTGAACCCAGTGTTGTCCAGGTGTCCTTTCCTTCCTTCCTTCCTTCCTTCCTTTTCCTTCTTCCTTCCTTCCTCCGTCCTCCTTCCTTCCTTCCAGGCTGTATGCCCATGTTCCAGAAGCATTCTCTCCTAGAATCATAGAATCAAAGAGTTGGAAGAGACCTCATGGACCATCCAGTCCAACCCCTGCCAAGAAGCAGGAATATTGCATTCAAAGCACCCCTGACAGATGGCCATCCAGCCTCTGTTTAAAAGCTTCCAAAGAAGG